AAAAATGTTATTAATAAAATTATATATGATGCTCAACAAAACAATAATCTAAGACTTCGATCGGCGTTTGTATTTCTGGTACTTGATTGTAATAACTTTTATAGGTAAGAACTTATTATGCAATATACTAAATGAAACTCTATTGTTCCATAAAATGTGATCAAAGTTGATTTGCATAAGTAATAGGAGTAATAAAGTAGGTACGCACTATGTCAGCGGATAATTATGCAGAAAAAATAACATTAAATAGATACACCATATTATTTAGTTTCAATAAAAATGACAAAGTTTTTTAATATGATTAATATGCACAAGAGATTAAATTTAAGTAGCAACAACATTTATTCTCCTTATACAACTAAATACTCGTATATTATATAGTGTCGAAATGTCATCGTCACAGTAATATGGTACGTACTAAGTAGTACGTAAAATATGCTAAATGGAGAAAGTTGAATAGTCAACGGTTCATGAGTTCATCACGTATTAACACTACCTCCCTCTCCAAATTGTTTACTATGGAGTACTTTTTTGGATAATGACACAATGATAAGGAGTATTTATATTTAACTTATACATGTTATAACTTATAAGTAACATTTTAATATAATTTTTATATTCAAAATAATTTCATATTAAAAATATCATTGATCAAAGTTGATTCTTATTGATCACGAAAAGTCAATTTGATAAACTTTTTCGGGACGGATTGAATATTAATTAAATTAATTTAAGTTAAATGTGAAATTAGAAAAATAAAAAACGTGTATTTGAGATTTGGGTAAAGAAGAGATAATAGTAGAACTATAAATTTATTGTTTTAAATAAAACTGTTAAAATCTTTGAGACAAATAAGAAAGAAAATTTGATAAAGTAAGGTCAAACGAATGGAGTATAATTTTTGGACCCACGTAGATCTCAAAAATGAAGTAAATCTTCAATGCCACGAAAATTCCAAAATTCAAAATATAATTATAACCAAATAAAGTGGGCAAAATAAGCTACTTACGTCAACAAAACAGTCATGAAAGAAGAGGCGGATGAGAGAAGCGCCCATGCGACTTTCAGCCGTGATGGCCGCATCGACCACCTCTTTGACGGCGGCGAAAACGCACGCCTCGTCGGAAAGCTTGCCGGAGGACTTACCAAGACCCAGTGACGACAATATGCTGCCGGTTGACTCTAATGGGTCAACCAGCCACGTTGGGGAAACATTAAGCTCCCCCTTAAGGGCTGTTTGGGTGTGCTGGTAAATAGAGTAGCCAGCTAGGGTTAGAGCTATGATGCTTATTGTGAGGCTGAGCACACCGGAAATGGAAGCCATGATCGGAGAGGGTATCGGCGGCCGGAGGTGATGAACGGAAAAAGGATTACAGCTGCTGAGTGACTGAGCTAAGATAAACGGCTTGTGTGGGGTATATTTATATTGCTTAGTTATTACGGAGTACGTATTACTGTGGAAAATTTGAAATAATGTGGCGGTGCTACTAATTTCTTTTTCATAATATTATTATTATTATTATTATTCTTTTTGATAATAAAGGAGGAAAACTGTGATTTTGATTGCTTGTAATTTGACATTTATGCTTCCGTCGTTTTTGACTTTTCTTATGGATCGGAGTGCTTGGATGTTGAACATGCAAATGACGAATTTAGGGATCCATGTATCTAATTTTCATTTTCTTTTTACATTTTATGATTATAAAAATCTTACAACAGAAAACTCGAAACTCTATGATCTGAAAAAAACAAACACCAGTAAGACGTATCATGTAAATTTAAAAAATTAACATGAAAAAGAAAATATATCTTATGCTATTTAATGTTGAATTTAGTATTGCTTCAAAAAAATGTTGAATTTAATATATCGTTAAAAAAAATGTTGAATTTGGCAAATAAAAAAGGGAAAATGGAAACTAATAATCCAACCTTTTAGCGGTCTTCTTTCAATAATCCCACTTTTTGATTATTCATGAATAATCCAACCTTTGCACCTCATCTTCATTCAATGGTCCCTGACCGGTTGATGACCTGCTATTTCAAGCTATTTTCTTATCTTTGCAAATCATTATACCATAAATCTCATCTTTCACAAAGATAATATTTTGTAAAGATAAGAAAATAACTTGGAATAGCAGGTCATTAACCGATCACGGACCAACGAATGAAGATGAAGTGCAAAGGTTGGATTATTCATGAATAATCAAAAAGTGGGATTGTTGAAAGAAGATTACTAAAAGGTTGGATTATTATTTTCCATTTTCCCAATAAAAAATGTTAAGTACAGTATGGTCAACTACATACATGTTCGAGTATAAAACTACGGCCCACATGCACCAGCCCCCCGTTTGTTAAAGTGCCCAAAGGGTGTTTATAGATACAGGGAATATTTTACAAATGGGGTAAGATCAATATTTTCAAGGATTTTTTTTGAAACATGAGTAATAAATTTTAAAATCAGATTGTAATAAATGTTGTGTTTAATGTCTAATACTGTCAAAATATGATAATAATTACTACTCCCTCCGTCCCCCTAACTTTTGTCTCGTTTAACCTTTTTCGTCTCTCCTATTAAGTTTTTCACATACTATAATTGGTAATATTTGGGTGGTTACAATCCATTCTACTTTATTTCTATTTTATCAATTCAATATCAACCACACAATTTCACTTTTTTCTTAAAAGTTGTACCACTCCTTTGTCCCAAACATAGTGAGATGGAGGTAGTAATATTTAGGGAATAAAAAACATGACAATCATATTTTAGAGTACCCATACACAAACATTTTAAATTCTATTTAGGATAATTTCCCTATTTTTCACTTGAATTCTTGGCAATTTTTAATAGAAACTATAAATCCAAAGTCTTATACATCAAAATTGCATGCACAATTCCAAGAGTCTTATACCTCAACCAGTTGAATAGGAGGATGTTAATAGAATTAATCTTAAATTATATTCCCTCCGTCCACCGGGACTTTGCCAAGTGCAAAGTAGGTGAGAAATAAGAATAGTAAAAAATGTGTGATTGAAGTTTGTGCAGAAGAGAAAGAAATGTGAAAAGCCACAAATTAGTTACTTTAATAAGAAAGTGACAAAGTTTTTTGGGACAACCAAAAAGGAAAAGTTGGTAGAGTTCAATAGGACGGAGGAAGTACGTAACACGTAGTAAAACATAACTTCTTTCTTAATTATGATATAAAGAATTTAAAATAATATCTAATCTAATAATAAAAACTTATAAGCACCAATCATGGTTATGGCTTTTTAGGAATGATAAAAATGTTGGTGTAACACTAAAGCAAGTTTCACTTGTACAATTTAGTTTAATCGGTGTACCATTCATCATTAAGTCTATGACTTATGCTTACCTCTGTTAAATTCAAAATGGCAGAAGGTAGGTCTTAATTATTCATTTGATTGGTTTAGTTTACATTCAATGTTTTATATTCAATTTTGCATTTTCAGCTTTTCCCTACTTGTAGAAGATAAATATTTAATCTTACTCTATAAAACATAGGACTCAAAATGTTTCTATATTCCAAAATAGGATTATCACGTTTTTATTCTCAAAATATGACTAATTATTGTCATGTTTTGGCAGTATCAGACTTTAAAAATGACAGTTTTTTTTCAAACTAACCGGTAATTACTCTTATTTTGAGAATAAAAATATGACCGTCCTATTTTGTACTTTTCAAACTTTTTTAATCCTATGAGAATTTTCCCAAAACCACGCGTTTATTCTCTTTAGAATGAAGCGATCTCACATTGTGACACCCGATACAATTTTTGTGGAGTTTAGCAATCACCCCTTAATTAGTTATTAACTTCTCGTGGCCACAATAATTTGGATGCATATCTTGGTTGAAAGAGTTGTTCTTTTCATATTGTTCTTATTGCTTATTGCTTACAATTATTTAGTTTAGATCACGTCAGGTCAGAAAAATTCTTCTCGCATCAGGTTGATCCAGATCAGAAACATGCAGACCAAATTACAAAACTTCAGACATGATTTATATATTACTCTGTATTATTATTATTACTGATTTTTTATTTACAACTTGTAAAAAGATCGTTAGTATTTTTTAAATTTATATGCATTTCTTTAGATTTATTAAGTTTACTAATTTGTTTTTTTAAATAACCTGTTATTAAAAAAACCTGTTATAGCAGGTCAAAATGTCTTGAGTGATTGTGTTAAGAAGTAGGCGAGTTCATATGATAATTTTTTTTAGTATAGAAGCTCAGGTTATGGACTTGAAATTGTAGGAGTCTTTTTTACTCTCCCCCCCCCCCCCCCCCAAAAAAAATGGGGTGGTATTTGCCAATTTTTGGACAGAATATTATATTGCCCCGTTTTTAAATGAGGCATTACTCTTGTGTGATATTTAACTTTTCACTCTATTTTCTAAATCACTAATATATAGTATGCACTCCAATTGTGAATCGAATTGGCATGCAAACATTAATGATTTTTAAAATAGGTGTGATATTTTTAATCTCTCGTTATTTAAAGAGGAGTAAAGTGTAGATCACTGTACTTACCGTTATACTAAAAGAAATCACTCATATTTTAGCACGCTTTCCCCTCTTATTTATTTTAGTTTAGATTAAAAAAATGGATTAGTTCATATCAGAAAAATTCTTCTCACATCACAAAGATCAGATTATATCAGACCAGAAAGATACATACCAGATTAGAAAATTTCAGACATCATTTACTATTATTTTGACTATTAGAAGATTCTTACCTTTTTATTATTAAAGGAGAAGTTTGTTTATTGTTATCAAGAGCCTCAATTAACGATCATGTTTTTTAGCTTATCAGTCTTATGAATCAACTTTTTCACCCAACACACAACTTTTTATTTCACGCGTTGAATGGTATAATAATCTAAATACATAAGATTGAAGTTACTTTTGCTTGTAGATAGCCGAATACTATATAAGGTGCACGAAAAAACTACGACCTTAAGTTATACAAAATGTTTTGAGCATTATCTCTATCGCGCAACGCGCGTTAAAAAACTAGTAGTAGTATAGGAGTGTAAACAAAATTCAAAACACTACATTATTTTTTTATATAACAGCAATACAGCATAAGAGTTTTTTTTTTTAATGTCGTTATTAACAAGCAAGGAGAGGCAGAGGAAGCCTCGCCGTGGTCGATCTTGGGCTTGACGTACGGGCCACGAAACAAGAAAAATGATATGGTGAAGCATGATGGGTTTACCCAAAAACATTTAGGGCATGTTTGGATTGAGTGTTAGAGAGTGTGAGTAATGGAAGTGTTGAGAAGGGTTAACATTAACACTTGTTTGGGAGAAAAATAAAGAAGTGTCAGCAAGTGTTAATAAGTGTTAGGAAGTGTTGGTAATCACCTTCCTAATAACACCTCAAATATCTACTTTTTTAACATCCCGATTTGAAGTGTCACATTTTATCTGCCGCAAGCCATCTCGTCTGCTCATGTGCCTTCGTCTCAATCTTTCAGCCTTGTTCCAGGTTAGTACTCTACTATCTCTCACCTCATCTACTGTCAATGTTCATCTGCGAAATAGCTTTTACGGAAGAAGCTTTTCTGAATTTCTTGTCAGAGAGTTGAGCAAACAGCTCCAGAAATTGAAGGATTGCCAGAAATTGGAGCTGCCGGAAAAAGGTTACTTCAATTTTTCATACACAAAGAGGATGTTATGGACGATGATTGTATTTGCCTTTGGTGTGGACTGTGGGTTGGGTTGGCTAACTCGGAAGTGATGAAACCAATAATTCATCTTTGTTGTTTTAAAATATACATATATATCGTCGAGATGCAAGTATTTCATTTTTAATACACAGTATTAATTAGAAATTTTAAATGTAATATAATAAGTGTAAGGACATATTCGTAAATTGATGGGAAAAAACTTCTTTTACTAACATTCCATTTTTTTAGTTCTCCCAAACAAGGTTAATTTATAATTTAACACTTACACTTACCTTCCTTTTCAGACCTTTACTAACACTTACTAACACTTCCATTACTAACGCATGTCAACACTCCATCCATACATGCCATTAAGGGTAGACGGTAGAGACATAGACTATGTTTGGCAAGCCAGATAAGCTCAAAATAGGCTGAAATATTTTTAGTTCAGTCAAATATTTTGAGATTAGTCCTGTTTGGTAGAAGAGCTTAAGATGACTGGATCTGAAATATCAGGGCTGAATTGCTACGCTTCTCATCCTAGCGTTGATGTTCAGGCGATTCAACAATATACACCCGTTCCCAAATTATCCTCCCCTCCTGCCTTTTTTCTCCATTGATCAACTATCTCTGATTTATCTTCACGACCACACCAACACACTACTCCTCCTTAACTCCCTTGATAACAAATATAGAGTACATGTCTTAACTCTTAAAGCAGTCAAGATCAGAATGGATCTCAGCGGCACAAATGGAGATGGCGGTTGCTACTCTTCAGAGTACTAAACTCTAGCGAGCTCAAGCGATGGCGTAGATTGGAACGACGAGCTTCTTCCTCACCCTCTCCATTGTTGCAATACCTTCTGGTGACGATGGCGGAGGAGACCAACTACAAGTCTAAAAAAGGTAAGCTTATGAGCTTATCAATTTATCCCATCTTCTACCCAACATTTCCATTTATTGTTGCTTCTGGGGTGTCTTCCTTCTGCTGCGTTGCTTGGCTAACCATTTGAGAAAGGTGAAGGGTTCATTCAGAAGAGAAGCAAATGTGCCAGGGGAAAAATTCATATCCGGATTCATGTTTTAAATCGACAATATATATATACTCCGTATATAATATTCCGTGTATATTTATTCTAAAATCTTAATATTTGTGGAGTATTAAAATACAAAAATCAATATAACAAATATTTTATTCTATCAATAAATATGTCCTTTAATGTAATTTCATATTTTCCGGACACTTTTCAGCTCTTTTTGCCCAACGGGTTTACTCAATTCAGTTAGTAATTCAGATTCAGCACTTTAAAGTTCAGTTCCAGACCATAGTCTCTGATTCAGACAACAGTCCCCAATTCAGACATTAGCCTTCAGCTTCAGTCCGTTGTGCCAAACATAGCCATAGAGTCATGGAGAAAAATTTATTGGATACTCGTAAATTTTAAGACCACATTCCTTTTTTATGTATGTACTTTTTTCAATTTGTATTAATTACAACGCTTCTATTTTAATTTTCAACCGTCAATACCTCCTTTTGTTTAAAGTATAAACTTGTTACTTTTAAGTATAATTTATAGTGGGGTTTAAAGTGGACCACTGAAAGAATATTTTGCAAATTTATATTAGTATAATTAGAAATTCTTTTTTATAAATATAATCAATGAATCGTTCTCAAATACAAATTTTCAAAATATTAACTTGTTACTGTAACTCATTCTAATACACAACTAAATAAATTAGTCATATTTAGTTGTTACTATAACTCTTTCAAAATATTAACTAGTTACTGTTGGAAAATTAGAAATATTTCAAATGAATAATCTAAAAAAAGAAAAAGAAAAAAAAATATAGTCTTTTTATTATCCAATAGCATTTTTTTTATTAATCAAATTTATATTTTCGTATATTCCATTATAAAATATATGGTTTATTTAGTCCTTCAAAATATGTTCGTTGGAAAACGTACGTTAGCATTCTTTATTGTTTATTAATTTTTCAATGGGTACAATGGGATTACTATGTACTAATGTACTCAACGTATATTTTATATATTAACTTGAACGTTGGGTCATTATTACTCCAAACCTGAGCAGCAACGTTTTACGTGTATATATATGCATGTGTTCGGCAATGAGCTTAAGAGAGTAATCGAAGAATAATTTTTTGAGCAAAAACATCCCTAATATATTCACTCTGCTGGATTAATTTTATTTCTGCTCTCGTTGTTCTGTTGCCGGCTTACGCCGAAGAGCTCGTTATATCTTGGGGAAAGGTTTTCGCTAGTCGGAAATACTTTCTTGAGGACATCGTCTAACGCGTCTCGAGCTATATTATTTTCTAAGTCTTTTTTTGCAGGTTTATCCGGCCAATTTCCTCCAACAATCTCAAGAAAGTATATGGCGTCGGATATGTCTGCACGTGTGATCTCACAAGGCGTTGTCGCTGCACTCATCACGGCCATGTTATTCTTGCATGTGTGGTGTGATTTAGACTGGTATTTGGATATATCTCTACGTATAATGCTTACTCTTTTTACTTTCCTACTTACAATAAGCCATACTTTAACACCAATTTTTGAGAAAATTATTATTCCTTTATTTAGTGGTAAAATGACAACTATGAAAAACAAGAACCCACTAAAATCAAGTTTAAACTTGGTTAGTAGTGATGATAATTTTATTGCGGTTGTTTCTCAAAGTTGTAAAACTAATGATGTGAATGAGTGGGTGGTAGACTCCGGGGCTACCAAGCATATTTGTAAAAACAAAAATGATTTTACCTCCTATACCATTATAGGAGATGGTGAAGAGCTCGTGTACCTAGCGGACTCTAAAACTGTTAAGGTGCATGGAAAAGGGAAAGTTCTTCTTAAACTCACATCGGGGAAAACTTTATCACTAAATGATGTGCTTCATGTGCCCGAGATTCGGACTAATTTAGTTTCTGTTTATCTCTTGGGAAAAGTTGGAGTTAAAGTTTCTTTTGGTTGTGATAATTTTGTTATGACCAAAAATGATGTTCTTGTGGGAAATGGCTATTGTAAGAAAGGACTATATATACTTGGCATTTCTGAAATATTGCATGATAATGCTTCTGTCTATTTAGTTGATTCTTATGATGTGTGGCATGCTAGATTAGGACATGCAAGTAATTCTTATATTAAAATGCTAAATGATTGTGGTTTGATTTCTAGTAAAAATAAAATGACACTAGAAAAATGTGATGTTTGTGTTCAATCTAAACTAACCAAAAAACCTTGTCCCTCCATTTATAGGGAATCGGAATTGCTTAGCTTAATTCACACGGATTTAGGTTATTTAAAAAATACAGTGACTAGAGGTGGTAAAAAATATTATATCACTTTTATAGATGATTTTTCTAAATACACTAAAGTTTATTTGCTTAAAAATAAAGATGAGGCTTTTGATAAATTTTTAGTGTATAAATCCGAGGTAGAAAATCAATTAAATAAAAGGATTAAGAGAGTTAGATCAGATAGAGGGGGCGAGTATATTTTATTTAATGATTTTTGTGAAAAAGAAGGGATAATTCATGAGGTCACTCCGCCATATTCACCCCAATCTAATGGAATAGCTGAAAGAAAAAATAGGACACTAAAAGAGATGATGAATGCTCTTTTAATTAGTTCTTGTGCACCTGATAATCTTTGGGGCGAGGCTATTCTTTCTGCTTGTCACTTACAAAATAGGATTCCTCTTAAGCACAATAAGAAAACCCCTTATGAATTGTGGAAAGGTTTTGCACCTAATTTGAAATATTTGAAAGTGTGGGGGTGTTTAGCTAAGGTCTTATTGCCTGATCCCAAGAAGAGGAAAATCGGTTCTAAGACTTCTGATTGCATGTTTATTGGTTATGCTGAATCTAGTGCTGCTTATAGATTTCTTGTTTTGAAAAGTGATGTGCTTGAATGTGATACAATTGTTGAAACAAAAAATGCTGAATTTTTTGAAAATGTGTTTCCTTTGAAACGTGAACACAAGACCGTTGCACCATATAGTGAGTATGATCCATTACAAGGAAATGAAATCTTTAATGATGAACCCTCTAGTGATAGTGAGCCATTAAAAGAAAATGAATTCTTTTAGTGATGAACCTTCTCTTTTGAGAAGAAGTAAGAGGCCAAGGATAGAAAAATCTTTTGGAAATGATTTTTATACATATCTTGTTAATGATGAACCTTTAACTTATTCACAAGCTATTTCTTCCAAAGAAGCTCCTTTTTGGCTTGAGGCCATACAAAACGAAATTGATTCTATCAAACAAAATAAAACTTGGATTTTAACCGATTTACCGAAAGGTTGCAAACCAATCGGATGCAAATGGATTTTTAAAAAGAAATTAAATCCGGATGGTTCAATTGATAAATACAAAGCGAGGCTTGTGGCAAAAGGGTTTTCTCAAAAGCAAGATGTTGATTATTTTGACACATTTGCACCGGTAACGCGTATTTCTTCTATACGAACTTTAATTGCCTTGGCTTCTATTCACAAACTTTTTGTCCATCAAATGGATGTTAAAACTGCGTTTTTAAATGGTGAGCTAGAGGAAGAAATTTATATGGTGCAACCGGAGGGTCATGTAGTTATTGGTCAGGAACACAAAGTGTGTAAGTTGATCAAATCTTTATATGGTTTGAAACAAGCTCCAAAACAATGGAATGAAAAATTTGATGAAGTGTTATTTGCTCATGGTTTTACCTCAGTAGAAGTAGATAAGTGTGTATACACTAAATGTGAAAATGGTGTGTGCATTATTATTTGCTTATATGTGGATGATATGTTAATTTTTAGTAGCAACCTTGAGTTAATAATTGAGTCAAAATCCTTTCTTGCTTCAAAATTTGTTATGAAAGATTTGGGGGAAGCAAAAGTGATTTTGGGTATGAAAGTCACAAGGAAGGATGATGGTATTATACTATCTCAAGAGCATTATGCTGAAAAACTTCTAAAGAGGTTTGGACATTTCGATGTCAGCCCCGTGAGCACCCCTTATGACTCTCATACACATTTGAAAAAACATAGAGGTGATCCCGAGGTTCAATATGAGTATTCCCAAATTATTGGAAGTTTATTACACTTGATGAATTTTACGAGGCCCGACATAGCTTATGCTGTCGGAAGATTGAGTCGATATACTCATAATCCAAGTGGGGATCACTGGACCGCGTTGAGGCGGTTACTCAAATATTTGAGAGGTACCATTAATTATGGTATATTTTATCGTGGGTTACCCGCTGTACTAGAGGGATACAACGATGCTAACTGGGTCTCTGACTCAGATGAGATAAAATCCAATACTGGATATATATTCACCCTTGGAGGTGGTGCCATTACGTGGAAATCAACCAAACAAACTATAATTTCTAGATCCACTATGGAGTCCGAGCTTATTGCTTTGGAAGTAGCCTGTAGTGAAGCGGAGTGGTTGAAATCTTTCTTAGCAGAAATTCCGGTTGGTACAAAACCAATACCATCTGTGTCTATTCATTGTGATTGCAGAAGTGCAATAGATACTGCTAAGAAAATGTGTTATAATGGGAAGAATAGACACATTCGTTTAAGGCATAAAATCATTAAACGATTATTGAAGAATGGAATTGTGTCCATTAATTTTGTGAGGTCACAAGGAAATTTAGCGGATCCTTTGACAAAAGCCCTAGGACGAATATTAATAACCGAAACATCAAAGGAAATGGGACTAGTGTCACTTTGAAACGAATGGGGATGGGAACCCAACTTGTGTGATTAGAGATCCCATGAAGCAAGTTCAAATGGGTAATAACAAGTCTTCCATTTAGTTCTGCTAGCCTAACTAAATTTGCCCATTTCCATGATGTGAGATATAGGCTAGAAACCGCATTCTTTGAGAGGGTGAGCTAAAAGCTCTTAATGATTATCATAGCCCTTAATTTAAGGGTGGTGTGCAAAAGCGGTACACACTTGATGATATCACCTAGGGGTGTTCGTCGGTTCGGTTTTGGCGGTTTCGGTTTTATCGGTTCGGTTTTAGTCGGTTTCGGTTTTTAGTCGGTCGGTTTTGATCGGTTTCGGTTTTAGTCGGGCGGTTTTAGCGGCTTTAAAAATAGATGTAACCGAGAATCGGACCACAAAAATTAAGACAATTTTGGTCAATTTTAGCCATTTTTGCCGGTTTATTTTCATTTGACCGGTTTTTTAAGCCAAAAGTACGAACCGTAAACCGAATAACCGATGAATTAGTCAATTTCGGTCGGTTTCGGTTTTATCGGTTCGGTTTTGGTCGGTTTCGGTTTTGGTCGGTTTCGGTTTTGATCGGTCGGTTTGGCGGTCGGTTTCGGTTTTTCGGTTTTTTTGTTCACCCCTAATATCACCTATATGAGTGTGAGGTGGGGCCGCCTCCATGAAGCATGACAAAACTTCTAGAGCATTCATGAAAACCAAGCACGCGCATGGCCTTACGGCGCACAACGGCGTAATAACGAGAAATTGTGCGAGGTGAGACACGACTGTTAAGACCCTGATTTACCAATAGTAGCTTGTTGGTTCAATAAACTATACGTTTCACCAAAAGCTCGGTTCATTAAGACTTAATCGTCTCGGTTTGGTTCAAGTCTACGGACACCAAACTTAAAGTCTCATTCTTTTAATCCAGCAGACATTTTCTAAACTATTTTCTAAACTCCAAAAATTATTCATTTGAAATATGTGGGGGATTGTTGGAAAATTAGAAATATTTCAAATGAATAATCTAAAAAAAGAAAAAGAAAAAAAAATATATAGTCTTTTTATTATCCAATAGCATTTTTTTTATTAATCAAATTTATATTTTCGTATATTCCATTATAAAATATATGGTTTATTTAGTCCTTCAAAATATGTTCGTTGGAAAACGTACGTTAGCATTCTTTATTGTTTATTAATTTTTCAATGGGTACAATGGGATTACTATGTACTAATGTACTCAACGTATATTTTATTTTTGGGAAAAGGTGCAAATAGGCCCTTGTACTAACCAAAAAAGGTCAAATAAGCCCTTATTTAGGAAGTTCTGTCCGGCCGTCGTCTTTTGAGGTAGTTCCCGATAGAATTTTTTGATGAAATTTTTTAAGCATCTTATTCATTAAGTCTAGTTTACTCATACCAAATTTCAGCTAAAACTTCAATCGGGAAGGCATTCAAATAAATTCTTGAAGATAACTGCGCTTCTAACTGCGCAGTTATTTTCAAGAATTCATTTGAATGCCTTCCCAATTGAAGTTTTAGCTGAAATTTGGTATGAGTAAACTAGACTTAATGAATAAGATGCTCAAACAATTTCATCAAAAAATTCCACCGGGAACCACTCCAAATGGCGACGGCCGGACAAAGACTCCTAAATAAGGGCTTATTTGACCTTTTTTGATTAGTACAAGGGCTTATTTGCACCTTTTCCCTTTATTTTTTAACTTGAACGTTGGGTCATTATTACTCCAAACCTGAGCAGCAACGTTTTACGTGTATATATATGCATGTGTTCGACAATGAGCTTAAGAGAGTAATCGAAGAATAATTTTTTGAGCAAAAACATCCCTAATATATTCACTCTGCTGGATTAATTTTATTTCTGCTCTCGTTGTTCTGTTGCCGGCTTACGCCGAAGAGCTCGTTATATCTTGGGGAAAGGTTTTCGCTAGTCGGAAATACTTTCTTGAGGACAGCGTCTAATGCGTCTCGAGCTATATTATTTTCTAAGTCTTTTTTTGCAGGTTTATCCGGCCAATTTCCTCCAACAGTTACTATAACTTGTGCATTTTAAAAAAACTTGAAAATGAAAACATATGGCAACAAAAAAGAATAAAACTGATATTTATCGAATGCTTAATAAGCGACTGCAGTCTACTAATATTTGATACATAAAATGCATGTAAAGAATGTACAAGTAAGAGCCCACGTAGTTTTTCATGTAACAAGTATTTTTTGTTTTTTTAACGTTGAAATGAATAATAATCAAAGTAAGTGGATATCATTAGTGAATTATTGAATTTTTTCAATAATTCAGCAATTTCAATCAAATTAATCACTTCAGTAAAAACTCAATCAATTTTAATTTGATATCATTAGT